TGAGAGGAGAGACAAAACGCTGCACAAACAAGTTGCAACAAAAAATGCAATAAGATAAAAAGTATAAAAAAAAAAAAACTGATCTTGCCAACAATTTAGAAGATTGTTATAAAAATCCAATCTTTGAACTAATAAACGCCAAATAATTAATAATCGCAACGAAAGAAAGCCGAGTGACCCGCCACATAATTTGAACGATAAAAAACGAGAGAATGGTGAAAGCTCGTTGAGAATGAAATGGTCAATGAACAATTTCTTGAAAATCGCAAGAATAGAAACTAAACACCCAAAACCCACCTGGCTGGCACTGAAAATTTTCCTGTAAAAAGTGCGAATCTTATGAGAAACGCAGAAGGGTTCGACGAGAACTCAATTTTCAGAAGAAAGAGGAAATTTGGGGAGCGAAATTAAGCCATGGAAAGTTCGAGGAAGACGATAAAAAAGATTGCCAGAAAATTGCCGCTAATTTATTTCAAGCCTCGAGCTATTGCTATTATTAATGCTGTTGAGGGGATGCGTCTCACAGTGTGCACGGGCGCGTGATTATACGCGCTCTGATGGAGATAGGCGTGCCCTTTTGGCCGCATTCTGCTCAACAAGACTCGAGCTTGAAGACGGTATCCGTTTTTTTTTTATTATTATTTTTTTTTTTTTCTTTTTCCTTTTTATTTTGGGTTTCAGTTATTAGGGATTTTATTACCAAAAGAAACCTTCAAGAGTTTTATAATTACATGAAATAATTTTGTTCCTTTACTTTTGGTTAATTGTATTTGTGTTATTAAAGGGTAAAAATCAAAACAAAGTGGGATTTTAATCATTTCTCATATATATATATATAAATATATATATATAGGTGGTTGTTTGGTAAATAAGGCTAAATTAAAGGTTTGGGACAAATTAAAGGTTTGATCCGCTAGAATATTTAGTTTAAATATCTATGCTATGTTTGGTAGACCAATAAGCTAGCTTATAGTTTATTTGATTAGTTTATAAGCTTCATGTATTCAAATAAGCCTCGTTTGGTAGAACGTGCTTTTTTAAAAAGCTCGAACATATTTGATAAACTTCCTTAGGTAACTTTTCAAACAAGCAAGTTGAATTTTTTTTTTCCAGCTAGCTTATCAGCTAATTTTACCAAACACTTTTATCATATAAGCTAGCTTATCAGTTATAAGTCATAAGCTATAAGGTATATGCTAAAGAATTACTGATAAGCTATAAGCTATCTTATCAGTTATCAGTTAACTTATCAGCTAATTTTACGAAACATAGCCTTAGTAAATACAACTTTCAAGATAACATTTTGGATCTAAAAGATAATTTGTTCTTTTTTTTTTTTAATTAGAGTGTATTTTGTAAGCACATTTATCTCATAGTTTATTTGGTTAACTTATACGCTTTATATATTCAAATAAATTTAGTTTGATAAAAACGAATTTAAAAAAAAAAAAA